AAAGAGCTGGTTCTTTTTATTCCTGGAATCCCCACACCACAAGAAGCAGCCCTCGCTGGCCTGCTGGATGAGACGCATGTGGTCCAGTCACCCAGGGAAGCCTTAGCTGACCACCCGCCAAGTGCCTGACAGATAAAGCCATCGGAGATCAGCCAGCCCCCAAGGCAACCCACCAACTGATTACATATGCATGCCATCAGCCAAGCCTGAGATCAGAAAAACTGACCAGCAAAATCATGAGCTAAATAAGTGTTTTAGGCCACTAAGTTTGGGGTGATTTCTGTCCCAACAAAAGCTAACATACACGACTCCATTCTACAGATGAAGAAACTGAGGCACAGAGATTCAGGAACCCACCAAAGTCCCACGGTAAGTTGGGATTCAAAGCCAAGAGGTCTGGCTCAGAGGCCAGGCTCTGCCAGTTTTCCTACAGCTAAGTCACTCCACAAGCTTTAAATGTCTTCCCACTCGCCTACCTTCCCCAAAGGAGCTTATGTGTGGGGCACAGACTTACATGGCCCCATAAACACAAAACAGGCAACTTCCGAATAACCCTCACTATTCTGCATTTCTGTTGCTCTTCAGATTTGCCAAGTCTTCTGACACATTGCAACTATGTAAAAACAATGGGCGTTGCCCAAATGTATTCATCAATGGATGAAGGAACAAAATGTGGTGTAGCCATACAACAGAATATTACTCAATCTTAAAAAGGAATGAAATTTTAACACATGCTACAACATGAACGAACCCTGAGGATGTTAGGCAAAGAGAGATAAGCCAGTCACAGAAGGACAAATCCTGCATGATTCCATTTATATCAGGTACTTATTCATAGGGACAGAAAGTAGAACCATGGTTGCCAAGGGCAGGGGATTGGAAGGAACGGGGCACTGGCGTCTAATAAGCACAGAGTTGCAGTTTGGGAAGATGAAAAAGTTCTGGAGATGGATGGTGGTGGGCGTGGCCCCACAATATGAATGTACTTAATGCCGCTGGATTACACACTTCCAAATGGCAAAATGTATGTTCTATAGTTTCCACACCTCTTTAAAAATAAGAAGAAAGGGCGCCTGGGTGGCTCAGTCGTTGAGCCTCTGCCTTCGGCTCAGGTCATGGTCCCGGGGTCCTGGGATCGAGCCCCGCATCAGGCTCCCTGCTCAGCGGGAAGCCTGCTTCTCCCTCTCTCACTCCCCGCTTGTGTTCCCTCTCTCGCTGTGCCTCTCTCTGTCAAATAAATAAAATCTTGAAAATAAATAAATAAATAAGCAGCAGCAGCATGGGGAGCGGCAGCGCTAAAAATGACAGGCCCAGGGTCACTGCTAGGACAAGTTAGAGCCCAGGGAGCAAAGCAAGCCAGAAACACTCTCAGCTGTTCAGGCTTTACTGAGTCACACAGCTCCGCCCTCTACTCAGAACATCCCCTGCCAAACACTGAAGGCCACGTGGGCTGACAGATATGTCAAAGCAGCCTTACAGACAAGCTCCAGCTCAAGGACAAAAGCCCTCAAATCCATCAAAGCCAGTTCCCTGCCCCCACCCCAGCCGGGCATCGGGGGGGGGGGGGGCTGTGTTCTATCTCCTCTCGGCAGAATGTGGGCTGGGTTTTCACCCTCACAGGACTGGATCTGACCCATTCCTGATCTGACATGACATCGGGAACAATAAAGTTAATGCAAATTTTTGATAAGCAAATAGAATTTCTGCTGGCCCAATAATTACAAGCGTTTGTAAACTCTTTCTGGAAAACGAAGCTCTTTAAGTCTCCTTTCCACTGGGACTCTGGATGGATGCACATGGGCATTCAGACAGCAGAAAACCACCACTACAGGATAATCTCTTACACACAAAAAAAAATAAAAAAAAATAGGAGATATACATCAAATATTAACAGAAGACATGGAGACTTATTTTCTTCATTTATTTTCAAAATTTTCTACAACAAAAAGTTTCTTTAATGGAGCTGAGACCTAAGCTCATGCAGGGCTTCTGCGGTCAAACACACACGTTATCTCACTTAAATCCTAAAGACAACCTCACGAGAGAGCCAAGGCTGCTCCGGTAACCATCCCTATCACCTAGACAAAGATGCAGAGGCCCTGGGAACATAGCGCCTCCTGAGACACACTAGAAGCAGATGTTTTGAAGGCATTCCTGAGACCGTCCCTGCTGTACACAGCCAGAGGGTCCATAAATATAGAAAGGAAAGGGGTGGGGATGAGAGAGAGAAAGAAAACAGGAAGCCCCACTTGGCAGCCACTGGACGGGCGCCGCACCCCCTTCACCATCAGGAAGGTCAGAGGATGTGGGTGCACAAACAGACTCACCACCTGGCCCGAGCCCAGACAGCCCACCATGTGCACAGATGAAATGTGACATCCGCACCCAGCCTCAGCCTTTGAGCGTCCTTCCAGTTCCTCGGCTACAGACCAACAAAGTCCCTTGGGGTTGAGGGGTAGGCGTCACTCTGGGCCTTCCCCACCCTTCTTCCTGCCCCACCTGCAAGAAGGCAGGGGTTCCTTTAACAATCATCTTGGCCTCTGCTGGCTGACAGTGAGTCAGTCACCCCCAGGGTCTGGGTATAATCTCAAGAGACCTGATGACTCAGTGGCTCACCCACAGAACTCCATAATTGTCACGATCATTGTCCACACCAGCCAAGAGAAGGGATGAGAGGAAGGAGCAATGCCATAGGTCACAGGTGCCCAGCAGCGGGACCCTGTCAACCCAGCTCCCTCCTACCACTTTCCCCATCAGAGAGGATTTGGGTACAGAAGAGGATGGTGTGAAACCTACCCCAGATGTGTCACGGACAACTGGGGACCTACCCAGCATGAGATTTAAATGCACCCAACCCAGTCAAAGCTGGATTTACCAGCCGTGTTCCTACCCCTCTGCTCACATGGCCATGTGGCAGGTAAGCTGGGAGTCAAGGGCAATGGAAGAAACACTCAGAATGCCAAAGGCGGGCCAGGAGGAGCATGGGCTCTGCTGGTGGCCTACCAACTCGTCGTTCATGCATCTGTTCAGGCGTTCATCGCAGAACTGCACTATTATAAACAAGTAAACCATAACAAGTCAGCTGGACAGAGCGCTACGGAGAAATGGCAAATCAAGGAACAAGGGATGGGGGTGCTAGACATGGCGAGTGGTAGTTACGTCAAGGGTAGCCCAGGAAGGCCTTATTGATAAAGTGGCATTGGAACAGAAACCTGAAGACAAGGAAGTGGACCACGCAAGTTCTGGGGTTAAATCAATGACAAGCAGAACGACCAGGAAGTTCAAAGGCTCTGAGGTGACAGGACTACAGGCAACAGTGGACACCTCCCACCAGCTGGGGCCAGTGACCTAATGGACCAACCTCCAGCAGCCCCTGAACCACAAACGCTCCTTTAGCCAGCTCTGTGCCGAAACCCAAGCTCCAGGGACCAGATGGGGAAACGTCTGCCATAACTCCAAGGGCTTGGTTTAACAGACCACTCTTAATCATCCTGAGGCACGGGCACGTGGGTGGTTTTAACGGATATTTGTGGGCTCAAGAGAGGCAGAAGGCAACAAATTCAAGCGTTGAAGACTTTCAGAAAAAGAGATTTCATAATCTCCTCAGTATTCCTCAGTGCTTACATTTAATTATCAGAAATTTCTTCTCAAACCCTTCATGCTGCAATTTTACATCAAGAATACTTCTACTCTGGGCTACATCGTGGCGGGGTGTGTGTGGGGGGGAACAAGACATCCCCAACTTGGGGTGCACCTGAAAGACTGTGGGACACAGGTACTTTCGAGAGACAACACCTCAGGGTTCTGGAGCTCCTGGGGACTGGCCAGCACCTTTTGAGAAGGCTTCATTCCCTGGAAAGCCAGAGGCCTGGGCGGGGCCCAGAGAAAGGTAGAGAGCGGGGGTGGCTGTTCAGAGCTTGCAGGAGACCAGTGAGTAATTGGCACTTTGATGTACAACGCCATGCAGCTGGCCAGGGAAGGAGACAGGGTTCAGGCAGCTATTCTGTCTAGGAACAAGCCAGCATATCTGGCAGGCTCCAAACAGAAAGCTCAGCTCAGGGTTCAGAGTGTGAAACCCAAAAACATACCTAGGATCTCGGCAGAACCACCACAGCCATCAAGGGGATCTCCTGATGAGAAACTGGAGAGGTGCATGGAGGCAGGGCAAAGGGGAAGAATGCCCAACTCCTGGCCCCTGACCCTCAATGGGTCTGATCTGAACATGTTCCTCCATTTCTGGGGCTTCATCTCTCAAGGGTTCACCCTCCCATGATCTCCCCTTCCACACCTCCACCTGCCTGTGCACATGGTAGGTGTGCAAATACCTGTCGCTCACACTTTCTTACCAGCAGAGACCGCAGCTTCCATCACATAAACACACATGAGGGACAGGACCCAAACTCTGGACACCCCCCCCCCCCCCCCCCGCCTAGGCCTACTTTGGGTGGCAAGTCACACTGAAGAGACACGGACGGGGAAGCCAGAGTGGATGGAGGTTTATGAAAGCCCCCAGCCCCGGGGCCTGCTGAGTGTTGGGGGCTCTTTTCCTCCCCCGCCCCGACCCCCCGTTCATGGGGCCTGGCTATGAGAGGCTGGGAGGGGATGCAAGCACAACACTGCATCACATCAGTGGTGACAAAAGAAGACACACTGTGAAGCCAGAACTAGGTCCCATGCCACACAAGATGGCCCAGCTGCTGGGGAGTGGATCTGGGCACCAACTCGGCGTCCAGGTGGCACCCACTCACGGGGTCATCCAAATGCCAGCACCCACACTCTATTAATAGCATCAAGAGCCGGAATGGAGCAGCTTGTGGGGGGAGGGGAAAATAAGAGGCTGTCTTCAAATGCAGCTGTTTACAAAGTCACAGGCATTCTGCATCTCCGGGGAACCACGCTTCTACACTTCGGCGGGAGGCACAGCCATCAGAAGGTGCACCCCAGACCCGGTTTGGGGTGGCAGGCACAGGCAGGGCAGGTGGTCTGCGGGGCTACCTTACCTGCCTCGCCACCCTGCGTGCCTCCCAGTAGGGCTTCGAGTCTTCCACGGCTTTGCCAATTTTCTTCACCAGTTCGTCCAGTCTCACCGTTGCTTCCACCAGAACAGAGCGGAATTTCTGACGAGCATCCTGCACCAAGGAGAAAACAAGGAAACAGTTCCGGCTTGAGAAGGCATCCGGGAAAATCCATTTTCCCTAACTTAAAAGCACCGAGGAGGGCCTGCACACAAACCTACAGGCCCCGAAATAAATACTTTTACAAGACAGTGTCTACAGTGGCACTGTCCGAAACATTCTGTGATACTGGAAACGTTCTATCGCCTGCACTGCCCAGTATGGTAGCCACTGGCCACATTTGGCTACTTAAAATTGGCTGAGACCGAGGAAAAGTGTTTCTAATTTATTTAATTTTAATTAAATATATTTATATTTTAAAAATAAGTATAGCGGGCGCCTGGGTGGCTCAGTTGGTTAAGCGACTGCTTTCGGCTCAGGTCATGATCCTAGAGTCCCAGGATCGAGTCCCACATCGGGCTCCCTGCTCAGCAGGAAGTCTGCTTCTCCCTCTGACCCTCTTCCCTCTCGTGCTATCTCTCATTCTCTCTCTCTCAAATAAATAAAATCTTTAAAAAAAAATAAAAATAAGTATAGCTAGTGACTACTGTATGAAGGTAGACAACTCAGGTTTTTTAAAAATATTTTTTATTTATTTGACAGAAAGAGAGAGAGAGCACAAGCAGGGGGGAGGCAGAGGGAGAGGGAGAAGCAGGCTCCCCACTGAGCAGGGAACCCAACGTGGGGCTTGATCCCAAGACCCTGGGATCATGACCTGAGCCGAAGGCAGACGCTTAATCGACTGAGCCACCCAGTTACCCCTTAGATTTGATTTAAAAGTTCTGTTTGCGGGGCACCTGGGTGGCTCAGGTGTTAAGCGTCTACCTTCGGCTCGGGTCATGGTCCCAGGGTCCTGGAATCAAGCTCCGCATCCGGCTCCCTGCTCTGTGGCAAGCCTGCTTCTCCCTCTCCCACTCCCCCTGCTTGTATTCCCTCTCTCGCTGTCTCTCTCTCTCTGTCAAATAAATAAATAAAATCTTAAAAAAAGAAAAAAAATTCTGTCTGGGTCCTCAGAGGAAGTCCAGCTACCCCTGGCCACCAGTCCATAATGGTGGCACCATTCCTTACACTCCCATGGAGTGCTCAACCATATGACGTAGTCTACATTAAACACTGTGTGGAAACTTCCCACATGCCAGACCCTGCTGAGCCTCGGGCTTGGTGCCTGTCTCCAGGGCACTTCCAGTCTGGTGGGAGAGGCATGCACTATAACCCATTCCAGAAAAGTCTGTGCCAGGATGAGAATGGCACCAGTGTCGTGGAACCCAGCAGCAGAGAACCTCACCAGGCCAGGTAAGGTGGGAGGGGGTAGCAAGAGGGAGACTCGTGGGTAACATCTACACAGAAGCCAGAAGTGCACATGCTCACTTGGGGGGAGGGAGAGGAAATACCCAGCCCTGAGCGGAGGAGCCATGTCCAGCAGAGAGGGGAGAGGGAGAGGCACGGGGTTTCAAAAAAATAAACCTGGACGAAGCTAGAAGTCTGGAATGTGGAGAATGGCAAGAGATAAGGGTGGCCACCCACGCTGGAGACAGCTAGAGCAACCTGGGCCTCCGATAAGAGTTTGGAAGGGAGGAACCGGCAGGTGGGCCGTTCCAGGGTTAACCATGCTGTGAAAGTCAACAAACCCAGATCCACAGACTTCACAAGGAGGAAATACAATTAAAAAGAAGGACTTTACAAATAAAAATATATAAAAAATAAAAAAAAGGGGGGCGCCTGAGTGGCTCAGTCATTAGGCATCTGCCTTCAGCTCAGGTCATGGTCCCAGGGTCCTGGGATCGAGCCCCGCATCGGGCTCCCTGCTCCACTGGAAGCCTGCTTCTCCCTCTCCCACTCCCCCCTGCTTGTGTTCCTTCTCTTGCAGTCTCTCTCTGTCAAACAAACAAAAAAATAAATAAAAAGAAGAACTTTAGTCCAATGTCTAGGAAGACCTATCGGAGAGCTGGGTTAGTACTACACAGACCCTACACCCCTTTACTCCTTTTCCCTTTAACATCTGCGTGACACAGCCACACGGGGAGGTCAGGGGGGTGGAGGGAGAGGCTCACATTTGAGAGGGGAAATGGATACTCAGAGGAGGAACACCACATGAACACCAGCCACGGGGCTGCCCCAAGACCAAGCAGCCATCCTGCTGGCAGAACCCGTGTGCGCTCCACTGGCAGCAGAGGGCCTGCCTCACAGGGAACGCTCTGAAATCTCTAAACGTCGAATCATAGGGGCCTCTTGGGCCAATGGGATGGCTCATGGGGGTGAAGGAGGCTCTGCTGACTTCTTTTTCATTCCCGTCTCTCATATGGCGCCAGGGCTTGCTAGATGGCTTTGAAAATGAGGCCAGCACCCCAGCATATGAGGATACTGCCTTTGCCTTGTACAGCAGTTTCTCAGCTCCTGAACCCCAGACTGCTTCTGACACTGGCCTTGGTCCTCTGCCCCAGTCCTGTATCGTCATCATCATCATCTTTTTCTCTCCCTTCTCGTCTATCTAGCCAGGCCCACAGTCACCTGCTACAGCTTCTAAGGATGAAGAACACCACTAGGTTTGTCTTCCAGGCGCCGGTGCATAAGGCAGCCTGGGGACTAGCAAGGCCCCACTGAGCTTCTCTCAGACTTAACTTCCAATATGTAGGAGGCGGCATGTTGTCTGAAGCCTGGGATTTTATATATATTTTTTCCATATATTTTACATATATATAAAACATATGTATATAAAATAAACATATAAATATATAAAATATAGATAATATATATTTCACATGAAATATATATATATATATACGAAATAGACCCAATCCCATCCAAACCTGAGGCCCTAATCAGCTAACTTCTTTATTAATCATTTTTATCACCAATAGCTACTTTACATCTCATAGGGAGGGCGGTTAGAAGGAATAAGGGGAATGCAAATGTAAAACAACTAATAGTTCCTAGACACCCAGCAGACGCTCAGTAAATGCACACAATCCACCCCCACCACCTGGCATAAAAAGAGACCCACGTCCTATTTAAAAAACACCAAGGAGGTCTCTCTGAGGCAGGCGTGGCTGACATGATAGAAAGAGCAACCTGTTATACTGTGTAGGCAGATGCTTTGCAAGTGCACTCACATGCATGACTGAATTCTCAAAGTCCCCACCATGGGCGGCAGCACCAGTGCTAACCCCGTCCAGACCAGTGAGAAAACTGAGGGCCCAATCAGTTGGCGTGTGACCCAAGGCAGATCACGTCGTCACTCTGGGCCTCTTTTGTAAAATGTGAATTGATCCCCAAACCAGCGGCCTATGGGCCAGTAAGCTTAGTGCCTTTGGTCTGTACTGTGTACTAAATGCCAGGAACACCCATTAAAAAAAAAAAAAGACTCTCAAAACTTCTCATAAAGGAAAAGAATCTGATAATCTGGCAACCCTGAGCCCCCATTCCTACCTGGCACCCGCCTAGAAGTAGAATATGAGATGCCCCCTCAGAAAGAGATTGCCCCTTCCAGGCCCCAACAACCCCCATGCTTGAATCACACCCGGCCTGCACCTCTTATTTAGGTGCCCAGCCCAGCCCCTGGAGACTTAATTTGCCAAAGAGCTATTCTGGGCTCTGGTGACTAGAACCCATCCAAGTCTGTCTTTGTGAGGGAGACGGACATAGAGCGCAGATGGCAATTTATTACGTGGCAGACACTATTAGAAGTGCTTTAATTCCATCAATTTGTGCAATCACTAACAACCTTAGCAGGCAGGTGCTATTGCTGTCATTTGCATTTTACAAAGAGGAAAACTGAGGCACAGAGGTAGCCTGCCTGACGCCACAGAGCTGGGAAATGGCAGAGCCAAGATTTAAACTCAAGCAGTCAATAAATAAGTATAATGTCGCGTGAGAAATACTAAGACCTCGGTATACACATGGTGCAACGGACATACAACTGGGAAGGCCACCCAAAGTGTCATCCACACCAGGCCGCTAAGAAAGGGGATTTGGGCATTTCCCCAGACAGAGCTGCAGGGGCATTAGCCGCAGAGGCAGGAGCATATGAGCAAAGAACAGCAGGCCAGGGGGCAGGTGGGGGTTGGAACAAGGAGGGGCAGGTGTGTGGAGTTAAGGCATTGGAACTTTATCCCATGCACAGTGGGGAGACATGGTGGACTGATTTATTTATACATAAGTCTCAATTGACCTCCCATGCCCCCGTCAGAAATGACCGAAGAAGAACGCGTTTTACCACAAAAAGGAAAGTAATGGTAGTTTACTGGAAGGCTCCACTGTGAAGCACTTCCATAGCGGCGATCACGTGAACACTGAATACCGACTACACCATAGTTCTGTTGGGAGGAAAGGAAGTGTTTGGAAAGGGGGGCGCCTGGGGTGAGAGAGGGAGGAAAGAGATTAAAATCTCATCTTCCAAGTGGGATGCTGGCAGATGGTAACTAAAACTGACAAATCAACAAGCAGCCACACAAAGCCCACTATTCAGTCATAAAAGTTACTACCTAATCAGCTAAAATACATTAAACTGATTAGACTGCCTCTAAAGGAGGAAAAAAACGGGAGTGGGGTAGGAGGATGGGTCACTAACGCAGGGGTTTTTTTAGGTGTTGTTTTGTTTTTCCCTTTTTAAAAATTGTGGTAAAATACCATGGTGAATTTTTAAGCAGAGGCATGACCGGATCAGATCTGGGTTTTACCAAAGAGCGAGCAGGGCTCCTGAGGTGATTCTGGCGGGCAGATTCAGGGACCACCAGCCTGGGTAACTGTGTGGCCACAGGGTATCGCACCCAAGAGACTTGATTTGACACCAGCGTTTCCCTCTATCAATGAGGCTGTGTTGGCGGGGACGGTGACGCACGACTGGCTCACGTCCAACCCCCAACAAGCCTATTCATCCAAGACGCATTAAAAGCTGAACACAAAGCCAGCCTTCTCCTTGAGAAGATAAAGCAGACCCAGTTTTACCATTCCGCAGAGAATCATAGCCATTTGAGTAACCACTCTCCACAAATATTGGAGCATGCGAGCCCACAAAC